TTTAGATTATGGGTTTGATCTATAAATTTAAGCATGGAATTAATATAAAGAAATGTGACAAATCTGTGCCATAAACACCCTTGGAATTTGTTTAGAATTATTTATAAGTTATGTTTGGAAAAAGCTTTCTGAAAAATAACCATAACATGCTTATTTAGTATCCTGTAGATTGATATGAATTTTTGAGTTGTATAAGTAATGTATTTATAATTTTAATTGCAAGATATATACGCTGAAAATTTTTCTGGACAGAATAAAATCACCACTTTAATATTATGCTAGTCTAATTTTGTAAATCAAAAATTTGTGCATGTGTGTGTTTAGGGTTTAATTCTTGTATCTAAGTTATTATTTCATACCATAGTTTAAATAAATTGCTTATTTACATTCTGTACTTTTATTTAGTATTATGTGACACATGCAATATTTTATGATTGAGAATTTATTTCATACCATGGTTTAAATAAATTGTTTATTTAAATTCTGTACTTTTATTTAGTATTGTGTGACACATGCAATATTTTATGATTGGGAATTTTAATGAGTTGGTATAACAATATTTGTGATTAAAAAAATTTGAAATTATTTGTGATTAATATCAAAATTAACTGAAATGATTAACGGCATATACAAAGTTAACAATTGACGGTTAATACCAGTTGTTCGGAGTGAGTCTTGGTTTAAAGACTGTACGAAATTAAGGGTTAACGGTTAACACCGGTTGTTCAGGGTGAGCCCTGATTTTGATAATTCTCACGTAAATTGTGTTGCGAAACTCTAAGATGGCACGGGACTTATTTGAACCCTTTTCGGTATTCGGTTTTGGAATAAGGGTGGATGTGCAGGTGGCACACAGGGAGGTTGCTTACCCCTGGCAGACCGTTTCCTTGGGGCAGACCACGGATGCCACTACTTGGGTATATAACTCCGGACGTGGGCATCCCTGGTAGTTACGGTTGGTAACACTTAAATATTTGACCAAGGGAGGGTTTCAAATTAACCGTTGCCATGCTTAGTGGTTGGTAAGTTAAATCTCTTTGGTGAGATTTCGAGTGTCACCTAATTTATAAAAATTACTGAAATTATTCTAATGGTTGTAAATTCTGTATAATTATATTGTTATCTCATGTTTAGAATATTATTATTTTTCTCTTAAAAAGAATGGTAGGTTGGTTACGTTTTCTTACTGTGTTGCAAAACTCATGGCATATATTTTGTTGCCCTGACGTTTCATGCCAGATTATGTCGAGGAAGGGACTGAGGCTGAAATTGGAGCTGTTACCAATATCGAACCTTGGCTGACTTAGAGTCAAGATTTTATCAAAATAAAATCATGTTATCCCTTGTATTAGGATTTAACTATGTTGTGACGTTGTGTGTGAACTTGTTGTTTTATTTTGTCGTTGGACTTTGACTATGTAAGAACTTAAAAGTTCATAATTAGTAGTTAAAACTTTATCTAGCAAGTTATCGTTATTTAAATCTTATGACGTTTCAAAAAAATTTAGGGCGTCACATCATCGGTCTTGCATTGCACTCTACGAGATTAGATACAGGACCGTGACATTGAGTCCTGAACTGTAGTGAGCCCAAACGAACAGAACGGGGGATTTCCTCCTGGGACGTTCGGGGACGTTTATAGCATAAGACTCAAAATCTCTTACTAAAGAGCGTGAAGGTTCAAGAAGATATAATATTGAGAATTTATAAAAAGAGCAGTCCCGGTACAGAGCCCGAATTATTCATGCTCGAATTGGCTCAAAGCCCAAAACGACGTCGTTTTGGGTTTCAATTTTTTTTTTCTTTCTCGCTCCAAGAAGAAGAAGAAGAAGAAGAAGAGAAGAAGAAAAAAAGCAGAACTAGAAGAAGAAGAAGAAGAAAAGAGAAGAAGAAGAAGAGTAGAACCAGAAGAAAAAGAAGAAAAGAGAAGAGGAAGAAACCCTGCAGCAAAATCGAAATTTGAAACCCAAAACAAAAACAAACCCAACAACACCATATAGAGAGAGAGATCAAACCAAAATCCAAAATCAAACCCAAATCCAGATAATCAATTCATTGATTTCACACAGAGAGGGGAAAGTCAAGACATCAACAACACATTTTTTTTTTGAATCTAAAAATAAAAAATTTCAACTACAACATCATACATTCATCAACAACAGCAATCACAAAAAAAAAAAAAATCGTACGATTCAATCAAAAAAAAAAAAAATTAAAATTGTCGAATCTTTGGATTTGTATATGTGTATGTATGGGAGGAATTTCAGTTCTCTTCAATCAAAAATAAAAAAATAAAAAACAAAATGGGTTTGGATTTGTATATGTATACAAATATATATATATATATATATAGGTTGTGTTTGGAAAGCTGAGAGTTGGGTGGGTACCTATATCAGACCTGTCCAGATTCTAGGACAAAAGACTCCCTGGGTATATCAATTAGGCCCTTTCCCGGATGGTTTCACTGATAGGGTGGGCGACTTTTTTGACTTTTGGAAGATGGCGTATATCATGCCTGACCCAAGAAGAATTGTGAGGAGAGATGGGTCAGTGGACTTCAGAGACTGGAGGACCTATCGGGAGGAGCCGGTGCTGCTGCTAGGGCATCGTGTGTGCGAAACTGCTATCTTCGTGAGGGTGCTGTGGCGATTCATGGGACTTTTCCAAGCCACATGGGAGCTGGAAGCCCTGGTATGGAGAGACTTTCCTTGGCTATTTTAAGGGGTTTTAAGGGAACTATAAACTAGGCTAACTGATTGTTTTGTATGCTCACATGTAAAAAAAAAAAAAATTGCCTAGTTTAGAATTGTGAGTGTAGGAGTTAACTCGAATTGTAGGGGCTATCTCTTGCCCGTAGTATGTTATTTAATCTTTTCCTTTGTTTTATTTGTATTTTGCTAATTGTAGCTTACCTAATCTAATTAATGAAGTCTTTTTTTTAACTATCCTTGCACATAAATATAATAATAATAATAATAATATGATAATAAATAAATGAATAAATCACAAGAAAATCCCATCATGCAAAATGGCTAGACGAACAAGAAATAATAACAACGGTAATGGTGATGGAGTGCCTGATGGCGAGGTTGCTCGAATTATACGTGCGATTACTGATAGGGTAGGCAATATACCACCCCGAAACCAAGATCAAAACAAATCGGAGATGATAACAAAATTTGAAAAGCTGCGTCCCCACAAATTCCTTGGTGGATCAAACCCCCATGAAGCTAAAGCTTGGTTAAGACAAATTAAGAAGTTGCTAGATACTTCCGACATCCGAAATGAACAAGATAGAGTGACCATGGCGGCATTTCAAATTGAAGGGGAAGCAGATCATTGGTGGGAAATGATCAAAAGTACTCGACAAGTAGAGACATTAACTTGGAGACAGTTCGAAGACCTGTTCATGGAAAAGTATTTTCCTAACTCGCTAAAACAAGAAATGATTCAAGAGTTCCTCCAACTGAAACAAGGAAAAATGTCAGTCGCTCAATATGCGAACCATTTTGAAGCTCTTTCACGGTACGCTTCAGCCATAGTAGCAAATGAAGAGGATAAGGTTAGGCGATTTGAATGGGGCTTGGACACAGACATTAGAGGAAGATTGATCGTAGTGCAACTCTCCACCTATGCCCAGATGGTGGATCGAGCTTTAATTGTGGAATGAGAGTTAGCAGATTCCGAACGCACTCGAAATCAGCGATCAAGGAACAACAACCAACCACGCGGAGGAGGCCCAGTCCGCAACACTAGAAACCATCCTGCGCCAGCACCCTATGCCGGAGGAATGCAACAGCAACAAAGGCAGAATCGAGGAAACCAGCAAGGAGGAAACTTTGTAAATGAGTGGAAAGGAAGATGTTTCAGATGTGGTCAACAGGGGCATCGTCGAAGTGAGTGTCCTCAAGGTGGAGAGTATTTTATGGATCAGCGAGGGGCACAACAATACAGCAGATGCCAACCTGGGCAAGGTTCTAAGCCTACTCAAACTACTCAGACCAACAAGGGGCAGGCACAAGCCTCTAAGAATGCAAGCCGACCAAGAACACAACCACAAGGAGCTGGAAATAGGAAGAAACCAGGAGAGACTAACCAACAAGCAGTAGGGAGAATGTATGCTCTCCAAGAAGAAGAAGATGTTAATAACCCATCAGTGATTCAAGGTATGTTAATCCTTATGAATTCTTGGGTTAAAGTACTGTTTGATTCTGGAGCTTCGCATTCTTTTATATCCACTGCATGTGTGACAAGTTTGGGTCTAGAGCCAGAGACGCTAGGGATAGCTATGAGGGTCGCTTCGCCCTTAGGAGGTCAAACCCGAGTAAATCTAGTATGTAAATCTTGCGAGCTAGAAATCTCCGGTTCACATTTGATCTGTGATCTAAGAGTTATGGATATGTCTGATTTTGACGTCATCCTAGGAATGGACTGGTTGTCAGTTCATCGAGCCATTATTGATTGTTACTGTAAGACAGTGACAACATCCTCCCTTAACGGCACGAAAGTTCAATTTAAAGGGGATAGACAAGATTCTCTAACTCCAACGTGTCGCAAGTCGTGATGGCATGATCAAATAGCTGGATGGTTGGCGAGCCTAATTTTGGAAGACGAAAATCGAGAGGATCCAGGATTACCCCATGTGGTGTGCGAGTACGCTGACGTTTTCCCTGACGAATTGCCGGGTTTACCCCCAAAACGAGACGTAGATTTCACGATTGAGCTTCAACCTGGGACTTCACCGATTTCAATAGCACCACATCGTATGGCGCCAGCTGAACTTCGAGAATTGAAGGAACAGTTGCAAGAACTGTTGAATAAAAAGTTCATCAAACCAAGCACGTCCCCTTGGGGAGCGCCAGTATTATTTGCGAAGAAGAAGGATGGAACCTTAAGATTGTGCATCGATTATCGACAACTAAATCGAGCCACCATTAAAAATCGATATCCCTTACCTAGAATTGATGACTTGTTCGATCAATTAAGAGGCTCAGAATGTTTTTCCAAAATTGACCTTAGGTCGGGATATCACCAACTTCGTGTCAGAGGAGAAGATATACCCAAAACTGCGTTTCGAACCCGTTATGGCCACTATGAGTTTGTGGTAATGCCGTTTGGTTTGACGAATGTGCCTGGGGTATTCATGAGTTTAATGAACAAAATTTTTACCCCCTATTTGGACCAATTTGTGGTAGTGTTCATTGACGATATTTTGATATACTCACGATCAGAGGAAGACCACGAGCAACATCTGAGAACTGTTTTGCAAATTCTAAAAGAAAACCAATTGTATGCTAAAGCTAGCAAATGCGAATTTTGGCTGAAGAAAGTAAAGTTCTTAGGTCATGTTGTGTCTGAATCAGGGATATCAGTGGATCCTGCTAAAGTAGAAGCAGTAATGGGGTGGAAACAACCTAAGAATACGTTTGAGATTCGTAATTTCTTGCGATTAGTAGGTTATTATAGGAGATTCATTCAGGATTTCTCCAAATTAGCCAAGCCGATGACACACCTAACGCAAAAAGGAGTAAAGTTTGAATGGAACGAAGCGTGTGAGCAGTCATTTCAAGAACTCAAGAAGAGACTGACAAGCGCTCCAATATTAATCATACCCGAATGCGATGTTGGGTATACTGTTTACTGTGATGCCTCTAAAGAAGGGTTAGGTAGTGTGTTAATGCAAAATGGTAAGGTAGTGGCTTACGGATCAAGACAATTGAAGAATCATGAGAAAAATTATCCTACTCACGATCTGGAGTTGGCAGCTGTGGTCTATGCACTTAAGACTTGGCGACATTACCTTTATGGCAAAAAATTTGAGATATTTACCGATCACAAAAGCTTGAAGTACTTGTTCACACAAAGAGATTTGAACATGAGGCAGAGACGCTGGATGGAGTACCTTGAAGATTACCAATTTACCTTGTCTTATCATCCCGGAAAGGCTAATGTTGTAGCAAATGCACTAAGTCGAAAGACAAGGGAGATTGTAGCCAACATATCAATTAAAGAATGGGAAATGGTAAGCACTGTGAATGGGTTTAAGTTACAACCAGAAACTCAGAATGGGAAGGGTAGGTTGTTTACAATAGTTACAGCACCCCAACTTCTTACCAAAGTGTTGGAAGCCCAAAGATTTGATCAGGAGACCAACTTCATCAAGGCCCGATTAGTGACCGAGGAATCTTCACCGGATTGGACACTCCATCAAGATGGTAGTTTAAGGTATTTAGGTAGAATTTTTGTGCCAAACATTGAACAATTAAGAGAGGAAGTACTCAAAGAATTTCACCATTCGATTTTTGCGGTTCATCCGGGAGGAAATAAGATGTACCAGGATCTTAAGCGACAGTATTGGTGGAGTGGAATGAAGAAAGATGTTGCTCAATTCGTATGTAAGTGTTTGACGTGTCAGCAAGTGAAGGCAGAACATCAAAGACCGGCAGGGAAACTCCAACCTTTACCAATACCTAAGTGGAAATGGGAACACATAACAATGGATTTTGTAACGGGATTACCCCGGTCGTCGCAAGGCCATGATGCCATTTGGGTGGTGGTTGATCGATTAACTAAGACGGCACATTTCCTACCAATAGGACCAGCAGGCACACTCGAATCTTTAAGCCGATTATTTATTCGAGAAATCATTAGATTGCATGGAGTACCAGTCTTAATAGTGTCAGATCGTGATTCTCGTTTACGTCACAGTTCTGGCAAAGTCTGCAAAAGGCCTTGGGTACAGAGTTGTGTTTTAGTACAACTTTTCACCCTCAAACTGACGATCAATCAGAAAGAACAATTCAGACTTTAGAAGACATGCTTCGAGCTTGTGTGATGGACTTTAAAGGTAGTTGGGAGAAATATTTACCACTAGTCGAATTCTCTTACAATAATAGTTTTCAAGCAAGTATTGGTATGGCACCGTATGAAGCTTTGTACGGACGGCCTTGCCGATCACCAATATGTTGGACAGAAGTCGGAGAAGCACCTCTTTTAGGGCCAGAGTTAGTTCAAGAGACTACCGAGAAGGTGAAACTAATTAGGCAAAGGCTTGAGACCACTCAGAGTAGGCAAAAAAGCTATGCAGATCAAATGAGAAGACCTTTAGCATTTAAAGTTGGAGATCATGTGTTTCTGAAAATACAACCTCGCCGAGGAGTTGTTCGTTTCGGAAAGAAGGGAAAGTTGTCACCTCGCTTCATAGGGCCTTTCGAAATTTTGGACAAAATAGAAGAAGTGGCGTACCGTTTGGCTCTGCCGCCTCAACTGGCTGGAGTACATAATGTTTTCCACGTCTTTATGCTACGGAAATACGAGCCACACCCTTCTCACATCATCAATTGGGAGGAAATTAATCTTGATAAAGACATGACCTTTGAAGAAAAGCCTGTCAAGATTTTAGATCGTCGCGAGAAGAAATTACGAGGCAAAACTATACCATTGGTTCAAGTTCTCTGGAGACATCGTGGGGCGGAAGAGTCAACGTGGGAGCGAGAACATATGATACGTGTCAATTACCCTCAAAGCTCGGTCAATAGTGCAGTCAACACGGCATGGTCAGCGGCGCGGCTCAGGCTCGGCTAGGTCAGTGGCTCCGGTCAACTGCGACTCGGCTCAGTCAAAGTTGGTCAGCGCGCAATGAAGTCACGCTAACGTCATACCCACGCGCCTTCCCACTCGTCTTCCTCCTTCGACGGCGCATGGGTCGCGTGCTTGCGCGTGAGCTTCACGCGCCTTCTTCAAGCGACGCGTGAGGGCGCATGTGGGCTCCTTTGGGGCTCTTCTTTGTAGTTTTGGACTCCTCTAGTCGAGACCTTGCTCCTGGTATACTCAAAACCTGATTTTGAGTAACTTGATTTCTGGACAGTGTCGAAAAATACATTTTTTGTTTCGAAAACGACCGACGAGGCTCTGATACCACTTGTTGGGATCAGAGATCCCGCCTAAGGCCTTCAAGAAATCATACCAAACAGAAAAACACACCCACACTCAAAGAGACCCCATATTTAACATGGTTTGGCCTCAGTGCCTACGTCTATGGGAGAGTAACCGGTTATCACTATAACAATGGAAAGATTACAATAGAGGAGGAGCTCACACCATCCTCACTCATTCACTCACCCGTCTCCCTCTCTCACACCGAGAGAGACGGTCTCTCTGCCACACATTGTGACACTCCGTATTTTTGAAGTATTAATATTTAGTGAGTGGTATTGGTGGTTTATTATGATAATTTAAGGGTGAGATTTTTAGATAAGAATCTAATTTTAAATTATTTATTTGTATTTATCTCATCCCTTTTATATCTATCATATTGTTATTTATTCAGATATAATAATAAATTAATTTTCCCCACAATTCCCCATCACGTGGAAAAAGAAAAAAAAAAGAAAAAAAAAAAAAAAGACAAAACCGTGGGCAACCCACAGTTCTTTGACATGGCATACCAAACCCACCATTCCATCACTTCATCATTCCATTTGCTTTTGATTTTTTAATCTTTTCTTTCTCTCCTTTATTCCTCTATAAATCAGCAGAGTGAGAGGAGCTCTTCACAATCCTTCCTTCATTCAGCTCTCCCCTCTCATAAATTGTGTAGAGTAGAAATATTAAGTTTAGATATGAGAGTTAGTAATTTTACAGGAGATCAGAATTATTTTAGAGATTCATGGAGTAATTTCAGATTTATGGTGATGGAATTAATTATTTTGAGGTAAATTCGGGTTGTATACAATATGCTCTATTTAAATCTCTTTGCAAAGAGTTCTCTTATTTTAAATTATCCTTAATTTGTAATCTATTTGATTATTGTGGTAAAATCATTTGTTGTCGAATCGTTGATATTCTGATCATTCGGTAAAATTCTCTACAAATATTTCAGTATTAAAATGGTGATTTGTCTGACTGAATTACATGAAAATACTCCGTACATGGATCAAGTGAATCTTATTAATTGTTTACACCAAAATGCCCAGATAAGCATGGAGCTTGGGTGAGGTGGGTGAATAATAAGACCGAGTATTTGGTCCTAGATAAATTATAGTTGATTTGTTGTGCAATTCGGTAAATTGTTTGATTATCGTATCATTGATTTAATGTCATAAATTGTTGGATTCCTGTTAATTTATTCTGTATCCGAGCCTTGTATTTCTATCGTATTGTATACTTCCCGAATTAATTTATTTTACAGGTGCGGAGCAGATTTTAGTGGAGCTCAAAATTGAGATTAAAAAGATTTATTAATATAAAGATTTGGGACCCACCACTGTAATTATTAAATTTGGAGATAGATGTAACATTGTTTATTTTGGAGGTCATTAGAATATTTGGAGGATATTATACCATTTGGAGACGATTTTGTAGTTATTATTTTTGGGAGCAAAACTTGTATTTTTTTTTAGGCTATTTTAGTGTATTTAACGACCCGGGAGTGGGTGGGGCGTCATAAAATGGTATCAGACCGTAGGGATTAGGTCTTACATGGGATCTGTTGGGTGGTGAGTACTATGAAAAAAAAAAAGGGGTTGATATTTAAGGTGAAAAATAAAAAATCATTTTTATATC